GACCGTTGTCCCGCCGAATCTACCGCCATAAACAGATTTATTCCCGGAGCCTGGAAATGTTTATCCCACCCAAACAAGGGATTACGGTACGCCGAACAAGGCGACAAAAGATGATTAATGGGAAGCTAAAAAGTAAAAAAATGATCGGAGAAAAAAATAAAAAAAATTTATCAAGTAATGCCCCTTTATTACAAACGCCGCTTAATCACAAAAATGCTGCATTTGTACAAATGTATTGAAAAATGCTCGAAAGGATAAGAATCTGATGGAGCAATATAACGCTGTTATTGAAGGCCAGATGAAAACGTAAAAGACCGAGAGAGCGTACCACTTGTTTGTTAGTTACAGCACCGTCCTATCCTAACACCACATAAAGCATCCCAAAATTACGTATTGTGCACGATGCTTCTGCGAAGGAGTCAAGACACGCCGGTACTCTGAATGAATGTCTCTTTAAGAGGCCAATGATTTTACATGACCTTTGCAGATTACTGTTATGTTTCCGATTATGACCGATTACTGTACCAGCAGATGTAAAAAAAAAGGTTTTTTATAGATAAGTCTCAACTACCCGCATTGGATGTTATTCGGTTTTTGCTGTTAAAAGATATTCAGAAAGAGGTCACGAAGGACATCACGGGCATCTAGAGATTTTGCAGGGCGATGTATGGCATTAACGCTGCTACAATACGACATTACCTTTCGAAAGTAAAATAGGAAATATATACGTGGACAACATTATACCTTTACAAAACAGTGAAGCGATACCAGATATGAATAAAAACGAAAAAAAAACTTTTTTTTTGTGGCTTCGGTGAATCTGATAGAATGCATTAGCAGTCTGATGCATCCGCTAAGTATCGGAAAAAAAAATAATTACAAAATTTACGAAAATTTTGGGCATCCTGCGGGAGTTGCAGTCACATGCGGTAAAGTATTTCTTGCTACAGATGAAATTTATTAGTGATCCTACTAAGTGGAAAGTACTCGAGTTTATTGCCTCGATTTATAGATCGAGGTGATAAACTCCCTGCATTATTAGCAAAGGTACTCCTTCAACAACTTTGGGAAAATGGGCATAAGCGGGATACTGCATTATCCAAAAAGAACACAATTAAATGGAATAGAATTGCCATTGAATAGTCTAATATTCATCTTCAAAAACCACGATTCGCTGGGTTACTCCTTCCTAAAGCTAAGTGTGAATTGCTTGTTTCTGACGATGCTTCTGCTCG